ACAAGGCATTGAAGCTAAGGGGGGTTACACGCATATTATGATGGTTCTTAATGGGAGAGTTACTCTCTTGTTGGGTGTTATTTTTAAGTGTAATTGCTTAGTAATTTGCCTTGTATTCCTTAGTTAAATAGCTGTTTTATTTTCAGTTTATAGCAGTAAATAGCTTAGCATTAAATTGCTGTAATAAAATGTCAACCGTTACAAGGGAGAACACTACTAGAAAACATGCCATTTCCGACGGCAAATTTCCTTCGGAAACATCCTGAAATCCGTCGGAAAAGGTCGTTTCCGACGGAAATTCCGTCGGAACCAGTTGTCGAAAACACTTTTGTGTTTTCGATGGAATTCCAACGAAAATTTTTCGTCGGAAGAGGTTTTTCCGGTACCGGAAAGTCCGTCGGAAATTTCCGACGGAATTTAAAACCGCCGGAAAGTTCCAACGGATATTCCGTCGGAAAATTTAAAATAAAAAAATAAAAAAAAAGCCCACCCCTGCACCACCCACCTTAACTGAACCCACCCCCCTAACCCACAACCCAACATCACTACAACCTACCACTGCACCACCAAAACCTCCACACACCACCACCGACACCACCACACCACCACTGACACCACCACACACCACCACCGACACCACCAAACCACCACACAACCACCATTCCAAAAAATTAACCCAAAAAATCAAAATTAACCCAAAAAAAACCAAAAAACCAAAACAACCACCGAAACAACATCCAAAATCGAAACAACAAACAAAACAACAACCAAATCTCGAAAAAATTTAAATCAAACAAAGAAAAGAAATTAAAAAAAACAACATTAAAATTATATCAAAAATTAATTATTATCAAAATTGTTTATACATTACATAATCCAGATCTACAAACTTAAAATCTATAATCTTACTTAACAATTTCCTAATGAACGACAATGAAGAGTGAGACGAGCTGCTTGACGGTGAACGAGAACGACAAAGACGATGGTGGACGACGGTGCTTCTCCGGTGTGCTTTGACGACGGGGCTATTCTTCATGCTTTGACGGGGCTTTGAATGAGAAACAGAAGAAGGAGGCGAGATTGAGAAGAGGACAGGAGAGAGAAAGATCGAAAAGAAAAGAAAGATGAAGGAGGAGATAGAATGAAGGAGGAAGAGAAGAGGAGAGGAGAAAAAAGAAAAAGAGGCGGAAGAGAGGAGAGAGAAAAACAAGGGTTTCCGGGTTTTGTAGGTTTTTTTTTTTTTTTTTTAAGTCAAAATTCCGTCGGAAAAGGGTTAAATTTCCGACGGAAATCAATTCCGTCGGAAAATATAAAGCCTCCGAAAATTGAAACGGATTTAAACTCCGTAGGAATTTAATATGTTCCAACGGATTAATTTTCCTTCGAAATATAAAGCCTCCGACGGAAATTTCCGTCGAAAGGAATTTTCCGAGGGAATATTCCGTCGGAAGCAGTAAATTCCGAGGGAAAAAAATTCCGTCGGAATATTTTCGAGGGATTTTCCGTCGAAACAAATATTTTCCGACGGACTTTTCTGACAGACCCAAATTTCGTCGCAAAATACGACGGAAAATAAGTCCGTCGGAACGATTCCGTCGGATAAAGGCCTATTTCTAGTAGTGGAAGTTGGGCGCAGCTACCGCGAGTTCCTTAAGGAACTGGTTAAGGAATTCCTGAAGGAACAACAACAGTTATTAGTCTTCAATGTGTGACGGTTTGCATGGAACTGTTACAATGAGGGGCTGCTCATTGTGGTGACTTTTGAGTTTCCTTTTGTTGGTGACTTTTAAGTTCCTTTTTAATTACTTTAGTTAAGTAGATAATTAATGTAACTAGTTACTTCCTTAGCCTATAAAAGGAAGTCTTATCTAGCTTATAATAGAGCAGACTTTGATGAATGAAAATTTTTACATTTGAAATTTACTTTTGAGTATTTTTCTTATTTTAAACTTGTGGATTCAAGTTTAGCTTGAACTCGTGGATTCAAGTTTGTGAATTTAATCCGGAGTGTTCGGGATTAGCTTGTCTATGGTTAGTAGAGTGAGTGTTCAACTCTAACCATACTTATCCTTGATTAGTACTGCGAGTGTTCCTTGCTAATCAACCCTCGAGTTCCTCGCTGTCAGGAACTTCGATCTTTCCTTACCCAGTTCCCACAGAAACACCTAGCCTAAACACATAACCCATCACCCCAAAACCTTAACCCATATCCGTTTCCGCATCAGTTTCAATTCATCAGATCTGATGAATTGTTGCTTTAATCAAAGGGATTTAATTTGGTAGGTGGGAGAATAATTAGTTAGTTCATTATGTTATAGTAATAAGAGTAAAAAAGTAATTGTACAAGGAAAAATTTGCCAAATAAGAAATTGATGCAATAAATAGGAAACTTCATAAACTAGTAAGTGATGCAATAAAAAAAGAACGGAGGAAGTATTAAATTTTTTGTTTTGTCTTGACATGCAAGTTTAACATATTTGTGCTCCAATTTTCTTTTAAATTACTCCTCATATTAAAATCCAAATGACACAAATAAAAATGAATGATTAAAATATTGAGTGAAGGGTGTAGAAATGACTTAAATCCTTTGTTATTTGGAAACTTTGGAGGACAAATATATTAAACTTTGGCTTGGAGAAATGAGGGAACTTTCTGCCAATCTCAACAAACCCATTGAAAAATCCTACTTGGAAGCTCAAGCTTTAGCTTGGGAATTTCACGCCTTTAAGCAGAATTCGTTGGGTCCCTCTCTCTCTACCGCTCCTCTTTTTCATTGGATACCTCCCCTTGACCTATGGCTAAAATTGAACTGTGATACTTCCTTCACAAATGCTTCTCAAGCTGCAGCCATTGCTGGTATTTTTCGAGATGAACAGGGAAATTAGATTCTTGGTTTTCAACAAAAATGTCGACTAAGATCAACTTTGATGGGTGAACTCAGAGCCATCCAACTGGGTCTGCAAATTGTAGCAGAGAAGGGCTGGACTAACATCGTGATAAGCTCGGATTCAAGCCAAGCTGTGGACCTTATTTCCCGCAATGAAAGTGTGAAAGATGCTAACCTTTTGATCATACAAAAATGCAAGGACCTTATGGAGAGTATCAGGGAATTAAGTTATGCTACGAAGGGAGATCTGCTGATATTTTAGCTAAAAATTGTAGGAAAAGTGTCTCACAAGACTTTATTGTTCTTCATTTAAATCACCCTCCTAGGTGCATTTGCTGATATAATTTTGGAGGATAAACCTCCCTAACCTTGCTTTTTAAGTCTATTGGATTTTCCTAGCTTGCATCAAAAATAAAAAGAAATGACTTAAATCTAAATTCAAAAGAAAAAGAAAAGGAAAGAAAAAAAAAGTGTTTTTTTGGCGGGAAATATCATAAGGCATACAAAGGACAATGGGAGAGAGAATAATTGGAGAAGTTCAGTGAAGTCAATCCCAATACTCACAAAGTTTGATCATTTGTTCTTCATTTTTCAGGAGAAACAAGTTTTGCGATCAAGTAATTCCACTAATCTCTTCTTCAATTACTATTTTAATTATCGTCCTTATGATTGCGTTACATTTTAATGAAATTATTAATCTAACTTTTATTTGGACTTGATAATCTCTTATTTATTATATTGATCTGAGAGAATAATTAGCCTGTATTTGCGCAATTTGTAGATTATTATATTTTGTTATATGCTTGTCTACCTAAATATAATCGTAGAACAAAAAAATTAATTACTAATGTAAAACCCTAATTATAATTAGTGTTGTTTTGCTTTTGAAAACAAAATTGAATAGTTGATTACGAATCTTAGTATAATTTAAATTCGTAACCATATCTAGGGTTGATGCACACATTTTTGGGGTTTTTATGGTTGTTTAGACTAGTATGTTATGAAATTGTAAGTACATTTATAACATTTTATGAAAAATTAGGGTTTTATACAGGAATTAGGAGGAAATAAATAATTGAGATTTGAATTCTGAGTTGAGTACTCGAGTGACGAGTCTATGTGATGGTGACATGGGGTTTTACTGCCTCAATTGTGCCTTGAAAATGTTATGGATCTTTTGCGTATTAGAAGTCCGTCTTTGTACTATATCCTTGTAGAGGAAAATGCTTTTGGTTGAAGAGCGTATGTTTGGGCCTTGGGAATGATTTTTAAGTAAAGCGGACAAAATACTTTTGCACTACCTCTTTGTTACATGCCTCGAGCAGATTGTGTTGGGGATTTTCTGTGTGTACAAGGTAACATTAAGTGTTTAAAAATCGCGTGGTGAGTGACATTCCATCCCAAAACCATGGAAACAGGGAGTGACAAGGAGGAAAGAAAGGCCCACAACCCAAGTAAGGTTCCATTTCAAAACCATATGGTAACATAATGAGTAGCTCACTTAGGTTATAAACTAGTTGTTCCTTGTTTAATTTTTCCATGTGGGACTATAACTCACACTTGCAACTTAAGACGTGGCCCTAAGCTACATATAGTTGCTCCATACAATCTGTAGGGAGGATTGAAATTTGTTTTTAGCATGACAATATGGCATAAAATTGTTCTTTGCATAGATTTATTTTATAAGAAACTATTTCCTTATTTAATGAAAGATGAAATTAATATTTGTTCTGATTTGTAGGTAGTATGGATTAATGTGTGTACAACGAACTTTAACATTGTACAAACGAAACATGACATCCTAATGACCTAATCACATAAGCAGCTTTTGTTCATTTAGTTGGGAATTGTATAATCAATCGAATGGTTATAATGTTTGATAATGGTTTCATACACACATGTTGCAGAAAATGATGTTCCTTCTTTTTGAGCTTAAAAAACAATATGTAGGGTCATATAGTGATATAATGTTACAAATAGATTGTCGAAGACTATGAAAGTAGGTTGAGTATATTGCTACTTTGTTAGTATCTGTTAGTTGAGTATCGAGTCATTTGTCTCTTCACCTGTAATTTAGTAATGTTGATGTTGTTTTTCTTCTTTGTTTTGTCCGATGAAGGAGAAGTATATGCAGACCATGTCTTCAAGCCCCCGATGCTTTGCGAGTTCAAAGCAAGCTAAATTAGCTGAAGGGACTGACAGAATTAGCAGTTTACCAGATGAAATTCTTGGGCACATACTTTCTTTTCTTCCAACAAAGCATGCAGTCGGAACTAGTGTTTTATCACACAGGTGGCAGTATCTTTTTACTCTGATTTTAACGAGACACTCATGTTTTCTTCTAGAGGTTCAGTGGCTAGCTATCATGATCTGTCATAGTCGAAATTACATAGTCTGCATGAAAAATATTCAAAGGGATATACCAGATTCAAGTATTTTGTGAATCGAGTTCTGATGCTCTGCAAGCCCACAAAAATTAACAAATTCTGCCTTAACCGTGCTAAGTCACCTGATGTTAATGGTAATAAAAGTTGGATAGAGTTTGCATTACTCAAAGGTGTTTCAGAGCTTGATATCTTCACATATCGGTTTAATTCAAGTGTTACACAACAACTTTTCATGTGTGCAACATTGGTGGTGCTGAAGTTACATGCAAAATCCGAAATGAAATTACCTGATGAATCTTACTTTTTGCCAAATCTGAAGTTCCTGCAACTTGAGTTTGCCAAATTTCCAGTGAACTTCCCTTTGACCAGGCTGATATCTGGCTGTCCAATGCTGGAGGATTTGGTCCTTGAAGGCGGATGGGAAGATTTTAATGTTATTAACATTTCTTCTCCTACTCTGATAAATTTGACCTTGGATTTTATATCCTTTGGGTATCAGTATGACCGGCCTACGACTGATGTTTTGCTTGATCTTCCCAATCTGCTTCATTTCAATTATGAGGATCACTTGGCAATCATTACTGCATGAATTTCAATTCTCTTGTGAAAGCTCATATCAGAACAGTATAGTATAGACTATATATATATGAGAATCCTGAGAATTTCCATGATTCTATGATAGAACTATTACACGGAGTCTCTAGTGTTAAACATCTATACCTCTCCGGACATTTGGAGGTAGCTCTTTCACTTCCTGCCCTTTGTTTTAGACTTTGATTTTTCTATTAGTTTTTTGACCAATGTATATTCTTAACGTTTTTTTTTCTTTTTTCTTTTTTTTTTTTTTTTAATGGTTGTATGTAGGCTCTGAATTGTAGTGAATATTAGCTTCCGACCTTTAATTACCTGTCCTGCTTAAACCTAGATTTGAGTGGCCTATGTGATAACTGGAGACAATTCCTGCCGGCATATCTGCACAGCTCTCCCATGCTTGAGAATCTTGTGTTTCCTGGGGTTAGTAGATCTCTTCTGCATACATCAATTGTCCGACATTACAATTGAATTTGTTTTCCTAATTTTCTTCCATTCTGTCAACTTGTATAGGGACTTTCACTTCACAAATTAAATTTTTACTATGATCACACATCCTTCTGGAGTGATTTGGAAACATCGTCTTCTTGTCTTTCATCTCACCTCAAGACTATTACAATTGCTTCATTTCATGGCAAGGTTGATGAAGTGCTGAATATAACAAAGTATCTTCTCAGGTATGGGAAAGTGCTGACAAAGCTGATATTATGCTGTAAATTGAAATCGAAAAAGGAGTATACAGAGATAAAGGAGCTGTTTATGATAGGAAGGTTAGCCTCCAAGGAATGTTCACTTGATTTGATGATAGAATAATCTTTGCAGCCCTCCATTGTCGTTGAATTGGTTCGGGAAATTGAGTATTCAAACTAACTTGGCAACTAACTTATTAATGCACAAAGTATCACTAATTCATGATCAATTGGTTTTTCTTGGTTTAATTTAATTTTTTCAGGTTTAAGCATTAGTGTAATTAACTTTTCTCACATTTTAAGTGTTATGTTATTATAAGATACATTTTATATTATTAATTAAAATGAATAAACTCTAAGCTTGATGACACAACAAGACTAACCATACTTAATTGTTCATACTAATAATATGATCACGCACCTGACTCAAGCTAAACATTCAATTTAGCAACTCTAATGACTTGGAATCTTGGATGTATAGCCTGTGATTAACTCACATTACAGTATAGTTATGAGAGAATACACAATCGAAAAGCAATGCTTATGAATCCAGAAGAAAGAAAAACAAATTACTTAATACTAAATTTATTACATTAAACTAACTCAACAATGTTCTTGACAAATTTGTTACAATCGACTAACTCTGCAATGTTCTTGACACAAGTCAAACACTTATAACTTATGAAAATCAATCAATAAACACAGACACTGACTGATTGATGACACACAAACAGTACCATGCATGATTAGAAACCTAAAACTGAGTAGTCATACTTATTGACACACTAATTAATATCATATTACTAACATACTACCTAGAATTAAAGACTGATTTTAATTTGTAGTCTGATATAAAAGAATAGATACCTAGGAAAAGTTTAGTATTGTAATAAAGAATCAAATTGAGCCTAGGATCATTTCTTCTTGCGCATGATCGACGACAATTTTGACAGCTTCTGACGCCAAAGAGGCTTGCTTCCTCCTCCTCCTCCTCCCAGAGTCATTTCACACTGCCTCTCATCTGCATCTGCTGAACCGCTGCTGCTCTTCCCTGTTTGTATGCCTTGAAAACCATCCTCTGATAGAATAAGTGGGTTTCTCAACAGATCAGATGCTGCAGGTCTGTCATTTTGACCAGCCAGACAGAAATCAATGAAACGCCTAATCTCAGTATCTGTCACTCGTTCTAGCGCATCAGGCTTTACACCCCTTTGAACACGCGACTGAATCTCAACGCGATTCCTGCACTCGCTGTAAATCTTGTCCCTACTCATCATCTGAATCACGCACATCCCGAAAGAATATATGTCAGCCTTCTGATTATAGTCCAACTGAAAAATCTCTGGTGCCATGTACTCTGGTGCACCAGCAAACTCCTGTAAATCAGCACCCTCTTCAAGCTTTATTGCGGCACCAAACTCTCCTAGCTTAACCTTGCCTGTATTCCCATTAATAAAGATGTTCTCGAGGCTAACATCACGGTGCATAATTGGCGGGTTTTGACTGTGAAGATAATCCAAAGCTGAAAGAATCTGTTTACACCATCTCCTGATTGCTTGCTTATTACCAACAAGATTATATTTCAGACTGTAATCCCTCAAATTCTCTGAAGAAAAAGCCTCAGTAATCATATGAACAGTATTCAGGGTATGGGTATCATCAGGCCAATAATTGTAGCATATTATTATATTTTCATGTTGTAACGACTGTAACAACCAAGGTTCATCACAATAATCATTGAATTTTTTCTTCCTGGTTTCTTCTTCTTCTGTTGAAAGTCCTAAGACTATCTTACACCAATTAATTTTTATACCAGTAAGTTGATCAATTCCTTCATAAACTATTTTCATGGGGTGGGGGTTTGATATGCTCATATGGTACCTTTCATATCGTCCCGTGGAATCTGCCTCCGCTACACCGCATCGTAGCATTGCTTGTGATGAACTCGAACCCGACATGGCTACTGATGACAGAGTGATTAACAGTTGAAGAGAAGAGAACAGAACAGAAACAGAGAGATTTCTGAGGATTTTTGGTGATGAAAGTAGTATTTCTGAAAATGTTGCTATAATAATGAAGAGTAGTGCTTGAAAAAGGGTTGGGAAATGATTTGATTAATAAGGGTGGGTTGATATTTATAAGTGTAGTTTGGTTGTTAGAGAATTCAAGATTTGTCCAAACTAATTTATCTTGTTTGGTCTGAGAGTTTGTTATGGCAGTTAGTTAAGTCGGTTATCAAGAAATGAAAATACCCTTTCTTGATTTTTTTTTTTTTTGTTGAAGGAACCCTTTCTTGATTTTTATTTAATAATTTTCTTTAATCCTTGGGCTTTTTTTTTCCTATTAATAAAAACAGGAAGTGGCTACCTTGACTAGTTTGATTTGTAAAGAGAAAGAAGTCGGTTATGTCAGTAATTTAAACCAAAGGAGCGTTTCTTAAAAAAATAATAATAAATAAATAAAATAATAATAATAATGATATGCGCACTTTTCTATGCGCACTTGTCCTCCTCGTCTTTTTGAAGCGGCCCAGGTTTTTTTTGATATGGCCCTTCGAGTTTCTTTGGAGCGCATTGTAACTGCTTCGGGGCCGGGTTTTGGTGATTAACAATGGCGACTTGCCACCTTACTTTTTTCTTATGGTGGATTGGGTGTCTATCTATTCAGCGGGAGATGTTCGGCACTATGCTTTCCTTGCGTCACGTTTGCAGTCTTCTGATCTTCAGGCTACGCTTCTTCGCAATTCTGGTATTGTTGGTCCAGGGCTGGCATTCGATGGTGCTCTTAGTCTTTTTAATAGGATTGTGGAGACTGACCTTATGCGTAACCCTAGTGAGATCGCTGCCCCCAAACTCATGAAGAAATTGGCAGATATATATTTCACAAAGGTACTGCATCTATAGAATCCACTTTCTCCTTATCTCTGCGTCAGGTTGCCTTATGAAAGTCCCAGCAGGGGGATCACACTTCTTCCTGGTTGCAAGCGGTCCCAATATCAGGTTTGGTTTAGACTATGAACGGTAAGACTTACCGTTGTGTTCTTTACTATCGATTGGGTGTTCCCTTGTTCTCCGTTTCGACACTGTGTTCTGCTTGCTCAAGGGTTTTTGATGGGGATATATATGGGGATCATGCAGTGTCTTTGTGCTGGGATGGTGGGTATTAAACATCGGCAAAACGTTGTTCGTGATACCCTTGTTGATATTTGTTTTCGCTCTGGGATTTCTGCAAGAAAGGAGGTTAACGTTGGGTTGACTGGAGGGAACGATAGGGCTCTTCGACCAGCATATGTGTTGCTTTATTCATATGATAGAGGCCTTGATGTATGTGTTGACTTGACGGGGTCTTCTCTTTTGGGTGTTCCCTTGTTCTCCGTTTCGACACTGTGTTCTGCTTGCTCAAGGGTTTTTGATGGGGATATATATGGGGATCATGCAGTGTCTTGTGCTGGGATGGTGGGTATTAAACATCGGCAAAACGTTGTTCGTGATACCCTTGTTGATATTTGTTTTCGCTCTGGGATTTCTGCAAGAAAGGAGGTTAACGTTGGGTTGACTGGAGGGAACGATAGGGCTCTTCGACCAGCATATGTGTTGCTTTATTCATAGGATAGATGCCTTGATGTATGTGTTGACTTGACGGGGTCTTCTCTTTTGACACAAACTGGGTTGTCTGACTTCGTTCCTGGTCGTGTTGTGTCGGTTGCGGCTCAGCGGAAGCGAGAAAAGTATGGGGCGCGTTGCAGGGCTATTGGCTATGGTTTTCTTCCTTTCTCCTTTTCTTCAGTGGGGGAATTAGAGAAGGATGTTGTTGCGTTGCTGAAGCGGATTTAGGCGTACGCTAAGACTCAGGATATTGGTGCTCGTGTAGCTGCTCACATCTTCAACAGGATCGGGTTCGCTATAACTAGAGGGGTAGAGGCCCAGATTGTATTTCGGATCCCCACTAATTTCTTGTAAATTGCTTGACTATGTAGGTTTTTATAATAATAATAATAATAATAATAATAATAATAATAATAATAATAGTAATAATAAATCAATAAATAAATAATAGTTAAGCAAAAGAAGAAGCAATATAATTGTAGAGATAGGATTGTACTAGCTAAAATTCAGTATATAAGGAATTGCTTACATAATATTTTAAAACATGGACTTACATTGTAAAATCACTACCCACGTTTACATTTCAACTAGTTGTACTTCATCAGCTATACTTAATCATTTACGAAATAAGTGTATGGCCTGGTAAACCTCTTGAGTTGTACTTGTATTCACTTTTGAAGCTTTGCTTTGCACACAAATGACGAAACTTATATGAATTGAATTCGATCTTAAACTTCACAGTTTTCTCAATAGAAGTAACATAGTCCGTATTTAATTTCGAGATGAGTGTACATTATTTACCATATAGCCAATTTACTTGTTTAATTTGATTAGTCTACATATATAAAAAGGTCACCATATGAAAATAAACGTCACTATATATTTAAAAATTCACTATTACTATAATAAAGCTAGAGGTAGCTATACATTTTTTTGTAAAAAATATCATTATACTTGTATTAGGTTATGTGTAAATTTGTTGTAACTTATTTTTACTATATTTATGCTTCGATCTCTAGATTTATGCGGGTTTTTTTTAATATGTGTCGTATTTAGAGCTTTTTCACTTGAAAAGCGATAAACTGTCACCGTGAATGTATCCATTTATACTTCGTCTAATTTAAGAACAAAAAAAGACTTGGTACATTAAATTCTTAGTTTTGTCTTGACATGTAAGTTCAATATACTTGTGCTCCAATGTGCATTAAGTATTACTGTATATAAAAATCCAAATGAGACAAATAAAAATGATTAATTGAAATATTGAGTGAAGGGTGTAATTGTAAATGACTATAATCTAAATCCAAAATAAAAAGAAAGAAAGAGAAAGGAAAAAAAAAAAAAAAAAGAGTATTTTTTGGCGGGAAATATCCTACGGCATATAAAGGAGTGGGAGAGAGAATAATCGGAGAAGTTCCAGTGAAGTCTATCCCACTAAAGACTACTCACAAAGTTTGATCATTTGTTCTTCATTTTTCAGGAGAAACAAGTTTTGCGATCAAGTCATTCTATTAATCTCTTCTTTAATTTTTATTTTATTACTAATGGCTTAAATTAATATCTTCAATTTCTATTTTAATCATCATTCTTATGATCGCGTTACATTTGAATGAAATTATTAATCAAATTTTTATTTGGACTTGATCATCTCTAATTTATTTTATTGATTTGAGAGAATATTTAACCTGTTTTTGCGCAATTTGTTGATTATAATATGTTGTTAGTGCTTTATGCTTGTATACCTAAACCTAATCTTGGAAAAAAAAAAATTAATTTTGATTTCTATCGTAAAACCCTAATAAAATTAGTATTGTTTTGAAAAGACTAAATTGAATTTGGTAATAGTTGATTACGAATCTTAGTATAATTTTGAATTCGTAACCATATCGAGGGTTGATGCACACATTTTTGGGGTTTTTTTTATGGTTGTTTGGACTAGTACGTTATGAAATTGTAAGGATATTTATAACATTTTATGGAAAATTAAGGCTTAATATAGGAAATTAGGGAAGGAATAAATAAGTGAGATTCGAATTCTGAGTCGAGTCTATTAATTGGGTTCATGGGTTTTACTGCCTCATTGTACCTTTTGAATGTTATGGATTTTTTTTTTTGCATATTAGAAATCCGTCTTTGTATCATCGTAGAGGAAAATGCATTTGGTTGAACATATTTTTAAGGATTGATTTCTAATTACGGCGGACAAAATACTTTTAGGCTACCTCTTTGTTACATGCCTCGATCGAGCAGATTGTGTTGGGGATTTTGTGTGTGTGTATCTTCATTTAGTGTATATAAATCTTCATTTGACTTTTATGTGGATCGTCTCTCCTCTTGTCATGAGCATTTATGCATGGCCCTACATATAGTGCTTTATACAATCTGTAGGAAAGATAGAAACTTGTTTTTAGCATGACAGTATGGCATAAAATTGTTCTTTGGTGAGGATTTATTTTATAGGAAACCATTTCCTAATTTAATGAAAGATGAAAATTAAATTATAATACTACATATTTGTTCTGATTTGTAGGTACTAGGTAGTATGGATTAATAAGTGTACAATTTAAACACTGTACAAGTGAAACATGACATCCTAATGACCTAATCACATAAGCACCTTTTGGTTCATTTAGATGGAAATTGTATAATCAATCGAATGGGTAATGTTTGATAACGGTTTCATACACACATGTTGCAGAAAATGATTTACCTTTACTATGTAAAAGTATTATGCAATAGAAGATTTTGATATTTTAATTAAATTTGATTTTGTTAGGCCTTGTTTAATTCACCTTATTTTTACTTATTTCAGAAAAAATAAGTTTAGATCAGATCAGATCAGAAAAAATAAGTTCAGTTCAGATCTTTATATGTAGTTTTTTATCACTAAATATCTTTGATTTTGTAATGAAATAAATTATGAAAATCACATATTAATAAAATACACATTATTATGAATCTAACAAGACCCCACTTGATATATTTTTTCCGTATAGATTATCGTATATTTAAGGTCAAAGTTTGATCAAATTTGACATTCAGATTAGACCACATCAGATTAGATCAGCAAAAATAAGGTGAACCAAACAAGCCCTTACATAGTACATGACTTCTTTTCATTTCTATAAGAACTTTTGATGTAAAGCCATCTCTATTTTGAGCTTCTTAGTTTTATGAAGGCTCAGTAAGAAAAGATGTTATATACGGCTTAACACAGACATGAACTTATATAATAATACTCCGCAAGTGTTGTTGAATTGGATGGCTCACTTAATCATCAGTAGGTTGAGTTCATTGTGAGAACCTATTGAATGTCGATCAATATTCCTCTTTCATTACATTAACAATGTGCTATCAACCTTAACTATAGATGCTGTTGGTTTCTTCTTACTTTTGTTTGACAAAGGAAGTGTATCTTGCAGACCATGAGATCAAGCTCTAAATGCTTTGAGAGTTCAAAAAAGGTCAAATGTGATGAAGGGATTGACAGAATCAATAGCTTGCCAGATAAAATACTTGTGCATATACTTTCCTTTCTTCCAACAAAGCATGCAGTGGGCAGTAGCATTTTATCACGCAGGTGGCGCTATCTTTTCACTCTATTAACCAACTTTGATTTTGACGAGACACTCACATTTGGTCCTAATGATCATATTGGAAAACTTGCAGTGGCTAAAGCTCGCATACTCCAAAGCCTTGGTATAGAGGGTTTGAAGTGGTGTAGCACTTTCAAGGATTTTGTGGATAGAGTTTTAATGCTCTGCAAGTCCACACACATCAGTAGCTTTCGCCTAAAATGTGGTTTGGGATTTGACTGTTCAAATGTCAATTCATGGAAACAGGTTGCTCTACATCGTGGAGTTACAGAGCTTGATATCTCAACACTTGCATATGAATCAAGTGTGCTGCCATTATCTCTTTTCGTATGTGAAACACTGGTGTCACTAAAGATAGGTGGAGAGTTTGAAATGAAATTTCCTGCTTGCCTTTTGCCTCATCTCAAAACTCTACAACTCCATTCTGTTACATTTTCTGAAGCCTGCTCTCTCAACAGGCTCATTTCTGGCTGTCCTGTACTTGAGGATTTAGTCCTTGCAGGCTCATGGCAATATGTTGAAACTATCAACATTTCTTGCCCTTGGCTAACCAGTTTGACTATGGACTTCAGTGACATATTTATGTCTTGCTACCATAGAACTAGTGTTGTGCTCGATCTTCCCAATTTGCTGCATTTTAACTATGTGGATTACTTGGCAGAGAAATACTGCATAAAGAATATTAAGTCCCTCAAGGATGCTCGTATTGACATTTTGTTGGACATAGAAAATGCGGATTGGTTGACTTTCAGTGATTCAGTTTTAGGACTCATGAATGGAGTCTCTAGTGCCAGGCATCTGTACTTGTCTGGTAAATGAATGGAGGTATACAGCTCTTCTAACTCCTTATGCCTACTCTCTTTTCCCTACATTCTTTATAATGTGTAGTTGATGTCAAATTCTAATCTCATTTTTCTTTGATGGGTGGAGGCTCTAACTAGCGGGCCTTGCTGCCAATTTAAGCTGCCAACCTTCAATAACTTGTCTTGCTTAGAACTTGGATGGAGTCGATGTATTAACTGGAGAGACGTATTGCCTGACATTCTGCATAGCTCACCTATGCTTGAGCATCTCGTCTTTCCTGAGGTTAGTGGATTTGTTTTGCAAATTCTACCAATAACTAGTTAACATTATTAGCCTCATTTCTCTTCAATTTTGTCAACACTTCAGATACTTCTAAATCGTGTACTTGATGATGACTACGAGGATAAGAAATTTTGGAGCAGACTGCGAAAATCACCCTACTGTCTTTCCTCAAGCCTCAAGACTATTACTATAGACTGCTTTCATGGGTTTAATGAAGAGCTGGAGATAGCAAAGTATCTTGTCAGACATGGGAAGGTTTTGACAAAGCTGATTATATACTGGCAAATTAGCTCGAAGAAAGAGTATCAAGACCTGATGAAGTTGTTGAAGATTGGAAGATTAGCCACCAAAGAATGTGCAATTGAAGTAGGGGGATACTAATCCTTGCTGCCAACATCTCCCTTTATCATTTAGTTGTCTGCTGCTGAATAATGTGGATATCAAAACTCATACTGGGTCAATTACGGTTTGATCTAATGGTTGCATCTGTAGTGCAGCCGTGCAGGTGAGGCTGTGCAGTTAAATCTTAGTTTTAATTCCGTATTTAACATGGATTTTTGTTTATACTCAAGCAACTATGCTGTGGTTTGATACTTTGATAACATGAAGTATTGTGGAAGGAAATAAACCTTAGTTTTTGTTAATTCATTAATCATACTATGCAATTTATCTTTAACAGGATTTCTTAATTCATTAATCATACTATGCACAAGCTAAATATCAAAATACATTTGATCGATGTGATGGCATATTCAGCTGTTGAGCCGAGTATACGTTCAAGTAAACATTCAAACTTTCTTATATCTGAAGTAATTACTAATGATTAAGTTAAAGATGCTTCGTATGTCTTAGAACAACCCATGTTAACCAGATATTAAAGACAAAATCACACGTTTTTCGGGATCCGATGACTGTATGAACTAGTACTATGATTGAGGACCTTCTGGGGTCACGGAAGGTCCAAGTGTCCAACATATATGAGTAATTAATTTACCGTTCATGATTATGTTTCTTTCCCATGATATCATCCATTAGAGGTGTCCACCGTGCGAGTCGTGCGAGCTGGGTTAGGGTTAGGTGGGTCGCGGGTTGGGGTTTCATGACACACGGCACGACACACGTAGGGTAGGGTGGGCCGGGTCGTGGGTTGGGTCGGAGAAGTTGGACACACCAGGGTTAGGTTCGTGGGTTAGACGAGTCGTGGGTGGGTCGAGCTGGGTTTGTGGGTTAGACGGATCGTGGGTGGGTCGAGCTGGGTTTGTGGGTTAGACGGGTCATGGGTGGGTCGAGCTAGGTTCGTGGGTTAGACGGGTCAAGGTGGGTTAGTGAGTTAGGGTGGGTCGAAGGGTGGGTTAGTGGGTTAGGGTCGGGTGGGTTTGTGGGTTAGGTGGGTTAGGGTCGGGTGGGTTAGGGTCGGGTGGGTTTGTGGGTTAGGTGGGTTAGGGTCGGGTGGGTTTGTGGGTTAGGGTCGGGTGGGTTCGTGGGTTAGGGTCGGGTGGGTTGTGTGGTGTTTTAATTTTTACAAAATTAACAATTTGATGGCTTGCTCTTAATTAAGATGCCTACGTATCCTTATATTATAAAATAAGGAATCAAAGCCAGCGTAGTTCTTATATTGTACTTCTTTTGAAATTTGGGGGGGGGGGGGGCTTGGACCTATCTTTAGAAAACTAAAATTTAATTTTGCAATTAAATTGTAATTTTCGAAAAATAAGTTGCCTACGTATCCCGAAAGAATCAAAGCCCACGTAGTTCTTAGCGTACCTGATTTAGACTTTTCTAGCCACCCATGTTTGTTGCATCATCATCCCCGGAAGCTGCATCATCCGTTGACGACTCCAATATCATCACAGGATCATCTTCATCGTCTTCGTCTTCCTTTAAACCTTGAGTTCTTCTTTCAGCTTGATCCCAATCTTTCTTACAAACACAAATTTGAATGCTTTCCGGAGTTAAGCGAGATCTTTTTTCATCTAACACTCTTCTACCTGCACTAAAAGCAGACTCGGAAGCAACAGATGAAGCGGGAACTGCAAGTATATCTTTTGCAATTCTCGCCAATATAGGAAAACTTTTTTTATGTTCTTGCCACCATTTTATAATTTGAAAGTTGTTGTTGGTCTCATGTTGATATGACAAATAATCATTAATAGCAAGTGTTGAAGAAGATGATGATGAGAATGATGTAGATGCTTTGTGTTTTTTTTTCATAACTTTATCAAGAAAACCAAATCTAGAATCGGAAGTGCTAGTAGTAGTTGGTGTTGCCAAATCAAAACCATAAATAGATGCATAATGATCATAAAGGTCTCCCAAAACAGATTTGCATTTGTTAATATATTCACTAACATCATAATCGATACTTAAACTTGTATAATAAAATTCTAAAAGATTTTCCAAACCTTCAGCTTTGACACCGGGGTCAAGAATAGCAGCAATTCCATAAATGATTGGAAATTCACTAAAATAAGTATGCCACTTACGTTTCATGCTATCAAGAACGGGACGAAGTCCATCAATCTTCATATGCTCTTCGATGGTGTGAACAACTTTAACACACTCAATTATGACTAAATGAACGTTAGGCTCATAAATATAAGAGAAAATATGAGTTGCACTATCAAAAGCAGTTAAAACATCACGAACAAAAGAAGCATTAGTCCGATGACTTTCGGTTATTAACTCAGTAGGATCAACACGAGTCTCATTGTAAAGTTGGGTCAAAATATCACGATACTTTATAGCATCACTCAACAACTTGAAAGTAGAATTCCAACGGGTAGGGGTATCAATAGACCATTGTCTTTTCTTAAGACCTCTCTCTTTACACATAGCTATGTACTTTCTTCTAACTGACTGAGTAATCCTAATCCATTTTATAACTGTTCTAATTGGGTTTAGCAATGGTTGCAACTCAGCGAGACCCTCTTGAACAGACAAATTCAAAATATGAGCACAACATCTAACATGCAAGAGACTACCACCCAACAACAAATTCAACTCGGAGTCATTTTTCAAATAGTCAATACACTTTGTGTTTGCAGTTGCATTATCAAGAGACAAAGAAAAAACTTTATTATTCAAGTGAAATTCTTTTAAACAATCCAAAATACGAACTTTGATGTTAAAACCGGTATGCCTTTCTTCCATAGCTTGAAAACATAGTATACGTTTTTGAATAAACCAATCATCATCCACCCAATGAGCAGTAATGCAAAGAAAAGGTTCGCCAAAACTAGAAGTCCATGTATCACTTGTAAAACTAACACGACCATCAAAAGTACGAAATAATTCAATCAAACCACTCCTATACTTATAATAAGAAGTTTGTGTATAACGTCTTAGGGTATTTCGGGGGACACGAGTAAATGCAGGTTGTAATGCAACTTTATTAAAATGCTCAACGTTTGCATTTTCACCGTAACTAAAAGGGTATTCATTAGCAATAACTAAAGTACTCATTTCATCAATCATTCTATCTTTATTATAAATGAAAGGTGTACCTCCGCCGGGTTGGTTCATGTATCCACCCAATTGTGTTTGGACGCCACCCCCCGAAGGACGGGGGCCATTTTCGAACAAGTCGTGTTTATTTTGCAAATGCCGACTCAAGGTTCCGGTTCCATCTCCCGTTTTCCAATTATATGACTTGACATTTGCACCTAGCGCCTTGCAAACTAGGCATGTACACGTGAACCTCTTTGGTTGACCAGGTTGCCATCCCGGGCGTGTGACCTCAACTCGTTCAAAATGTTTCCACACCCAAGAAAAATGTGCTCGACCTCTACTTTCACCGCCACCACCTTTCATAAATCAAATTATTAAAATTAATTTTTAAATGCTATTCATGAAAATAAGCTTTTAAATTTTTAATATTTTAATTATACTTATTTAAACGCATTTTTCATGGTAATTAACTAATTGTAAATCATAGAAAATTGGAAACTAAACTAACTTTATAATCATTAATAATAGTTTTTTTAAATATTCATAACAATAAAAATTTAATTAGAAATTACCTTGAGATGAAGGTTGAGATGTTGGTTGCGATGGAGGTGGCATAGTTGAACTTGATGATTGGTGGGACTCGTGGGAGAAATGTTGTGGTGGAGACGTTTGAATATTTTGCCTATCTCCTAAACCATAATCTCCATATTCATTGACAAATTGGTTTAAATTTTCCGTATTAATTTCATACGAAAAATTTGCACCACCACTCCTTTGGCTACCACTTCGACCACCACTTTGACTCCTTCCCATTCCTCCTCTTGAGCTCATTTTTTTTTGTATGATTACTAATTATAATATGGAGAAGAACTTTTTTTTTTTAGAATCTTAAGAATACTAATAATAATATTAAGGAGATTTTTTTTAACAAAAATATAACTCTATATAACACTTGAGAATTTGAGAACAATAAGAATTTTTAAGTAAGAGAGAAAGAAAGCTTGAATTTGTGTGGAAATTTGAGTGAAATGGAATTGGTATTTATAGGAAAAATAGAATGGATGATCATACACTTAAAAAACTAGCCGTTAGATACAAAAAACTAGCCGTTAGATACAAAAAACTAGCCGTTTTTTTTTAAAATGGATGTTAGGCCGTGCGGGCCGTGCGGGTCGTGCGAATTGTGCGGGCTGTGCGGGCCGTGCGGGTTGTGCGGGCCGTGCGGGTTGTGCCGGCCGTGCGGGTTGGGTGGGTCATGCGTGCGGGTTGGGTGGGTCATGCGTGCGGGTTAGGTGGGTTGGCTCGTGCGGGTTGGGTGGGTCATTCGTGCGGGTGGGCCGTGCGGGCTGGGTTGTGCCAGGTGGGTCGGGTTAGGTGGGTTCACGGGCTAGGTGTGTCGAATTAAATGAGTCAAAACGGGTTGTGCGATTTGGGTCGAATCAAACGGGTTAAACTGAGCTGGGTTGAAATGGGTTGTGTCGAAAATTTTGGACCCACGACACAACCCGGATTAAATCCGAGCTGTGCCGGATTGAAACCGGGTCGGACCCACGTGACCCACCAGCCGTGCGAGTTAGGGTGGGCTGGGTCCAACCCGGCCCACTGGCCACCTCTATCCATTACTATCATCACTAAAACGATATTACTACAGGGAATATATTGTTTGTTTTCAGGATTCAATATACTACGTATAAAACATAGCACTACACATTCTTCTACATTCTATTAAGGAAAATAAATATATTGCTATTGTCATATAATTAGCACTATCTATATAATTTTCTTGTAATAATATTTATATACTACTTTTTTTTGAAAAAAAAGGTAATATATATAGCAATAATATTATTCATCGACATGTTATAAATAGAATATAAAATAGGCTATACTCATATTATAATATATGAGGAAAAAAATAATCGTAGTAAAGATTC